TCACAACAGGAGGTATAATTATGGACAAATATGCTCTTATATCTGCTTACAGTGTGTTATAAATACCAAAGAAAGGGGGGGGTTGCAGTTTTGTTTTAAGAAAGCTGCTGTTGACCCGGAGTGAAATAACTGAAACAGTATGATCTGTGCATTCAGAGTCTCTGAGCCAGACTCTCCTCACTCACTGGGTACACGCAGTATTGTAGATCTATAATCATTCTCAGTGCCTCTGTCAAAAGCAATCAACATTACCCCCCCCCCCAACCACCACCACTCATTCCTTTCCCCTCTCTCTGCTTTGCAAGCGGAGGACCAGTCACAGGAGGTGCTGGGTGAACCGCCGGCTGCCCAGAAGATCTGCTGCATCTGACGACAAACTGCTTCCTGCCTCGGCCGGGTTCCAGAGGTACAAACTGCTTCTTTCCTGCAGCGTCAGTGAACGCCGGACATGTGTTTCCAACTTGTTGAGCATCCTGGGTGAGACGGTCCTGCACAGAAACTCAGGAAGCCGGGTTTATGGGAAAATGTGGTCTAAATTTAGAAAAGCGCTGGCATACGTAGAAGAACGTGAACAATAGCTACAGCGCCATTAAAGTGGAATAAATGCACAAAAAAGACTGGATGTTTGAGAGATTTTATTGGTATATATGATATAATATCTGCACACAGATCTATAAACTGGTTTAGGTTAGGTATCTCTCCAGATACAGATCTCTTTTTGTCCAGTGAGTCCAGGATTTACGTATATTTCCTGATACAAAAAATGAGAATAATTCAAATTCTGTGTCCTACTTTCACCTATTTATAAATGGTACTCATTGGTTTTCACATTTCAAAACAAAAATAAGTTGGCTGCAAAGTACACACTGACCCCACAACCCCCCACATCTTCGTTTTTCCATCCTCAGTCTGACATTACCTCTTCAGTGAAGTGCCGACCTCTGAACTCTCAGAGATGCACCTCTTTCCGCTGATCGGCGCTTCCTTCCTCGCTCTCTTCCTTCCCAGCCCAGGCCGGTCATGTGAAGTGGGTGGCCATATTAGGAGATTAGGCTCGCTGAGTTAACGTGCTGTCATTTCCAGCATATGTCAAAAAACTTCATACCTCCTGTTTGTCACCTGACAGTGGAAGAGCGCAGGGCGAGTTTCGAGCCCCGCTTTGCTGTTGCATTTATCACTGGAGGTGTCTGGAAAAGCCCTGCCAAGTAACAACATGAAAGGAAAGCAAATTCCTCACATTTTTTTTACATTTTCAGCCACTTGAACCCCTGCTGGAGAGCTAAATATCAGCGTCCAATCCAGAATCACTTAATGTCTTTGATGGAAATCTTTCGAAAAGTCTTCGACGAACTGTAAAATGATTAGAAACTGATTTTTGATGTCAGACTTGTGAGTCAGACTTGTCTGCTGTGACACACGCTGTTCTCTGCAGCCGCTGTCTGGCCTCTGCCTCGGGCCTCGGGGAGGATATTCTCCGCCACGTTCGTGCTCGAGCTGTTGCTCAACACAGCTGTGGGTAAACAGGCTGTGTTTAGATGTCCGTGTCTCAACTTGTACACACACACATTAACACTTGGACACATATATAAAGGCAACAAACCAAGACACATACGGAGTGGGCGTATTTGGAGTGCCACACCAAACGCTCTTGCCACAACTTGTTAGACTGAATGAAATTGCACTCTTCCACACATACAGCATAATAACATTCAGGGATGTGCAGCAGTGGGAAGATAAAATAAATAAATGTCATAAATGGCTCATTTACTCTTAATGTTTGTAGATTTTACGGTGAAAAACTGTCAAACCATGACAGTCAAAGGCTGTAAATTCTGATAGGTTGAAGTTTTCATTTTGTAAGTTATGGTCCCATTTAGAGTAAAACAGACCATAAAGCAGGGTATGCTTTAGGGCGGGGCTACCTTGTGATTGACAGCTCATTCTCAGTGAGTCTGTCCAGCTCAACGCACCAAACTCAGATCAAACTGTCAAACAGTGCTGATCAGATATGGATCCAGATTCTGTTGTTGACTATTTCTCTCCTCAGATCTGTTCACAAACACATTTTACTGTTTATCAGATCCTGTGTGAGCAGGCGAGCCGCCATTGTTTCCTGTTACGAATGGGTTGAAACAGCGCAGCCAATGAGAGCAGCTCAATGTCACCTCCACTGGCTCCAACAAACCATAATGCCAAACTCGAGCCTTCAAAGCGGTTCTCCATAAACCGATGGATGCACCGCGTTCCACTGTTTTCAGATAAGATAAAAGTAACGTAATAATTGCGTCATTTAATTTGAAAACATAATGTTACGTTACTGGTTACCGCAAAAAGTAGTGGAATTACAGTAATACTCCACACTGATGGTGAGACAAGAAAATAGTCCCTAAATTAAACTCCTCACAACCAAGGTCTGTGGATTATCAGAGGAACCGGGAAAAGAGACATTACTGTTGAGTTTTTTAAATATATTTGTGCCTCCTGGTTTTACTATATTGGAGAGAACTCTGACATCTCTACTGCTGATATCTCCAAAACTCAGCAACTCACACCAGAACAATCTAGATGGATGAACAGCGTGAGCATGTGGGGAGGAGAAATATATATTTTAGATCTTTTAGGGCTGAACTGTCCCTTTAATTACTGACTGATGAAACACACAGGCGGTTTGTCAGTGCGGGTGCTACAATGCAGTCTGATTCGAGCGTCGCAGCCCATGAAGTGTGACTCACAGGGGAAACAACGTGTTTGTTATCTTTGCTTTAATCTGCAGTTGATAGCAGATGGGTGGAGTCACCTCAGCACGTACCAGCTACAGAACATGAGTCACTGACAAGCATGCTACGTTTGGGTTTCAGATGCTTTCTATGTGATTTTCGGGCACTTATTACACACACAGTAGCAAACCATCTGGTATACCGACTTAAACGAGCCAAGATTATTCTGGAAATATTATTTAACCTGACTGGAACTCGATCCTCTGGTGTCTCGTCTAGACAAACCGCCGCAATTTAGTTTCCTAGAATTCATCCTGCAGTGATTAAGGGAGTAGGAGATGCTACTGTGGCCCTTTTTTTATTTTTTACACAGGATATGAAGGTTCAAACTTCAGCTTCAGGCTGGTTTTGGCAGCTGTGTGGGGCTGGACTGAGGTCACGTCCTAACCGCTGTCCCATCAGTCCACGTTGACCCCGACTGACCTGTGGGCGGCTTTAACAGGCAGCCAACAACAGCAGAGCGTACAGCTGCTGCCTCCTCACGCTGTCCGACAAGAGCGGCAAGTGGGGTAGGAAGCAGTGCCCCCCCAACCAGGCAACGGCGATATTTTCAGCTGTACCCGTTAGCCCCCGAGCATCCAAAGAGGGGAATTCATAATAAGATTTGTGCATATGTAAGCCATAAAGAGCCTTGAACGTTGTGGCAAGTGCAACTCTGCCGTTAAAAACTGGGGGCCCCCCGTTTGAGTTGGAGAGGAGGGATTTGGAACGGTGTGTTTCTATTCGCTGCTCCGCTCGCTGCACAGCCAACTGGTCCATTATCCCCGATCCACTTTCACAGGCCGCTTTTATCCCTCACAAAGCCCGAAAATACCGCAAAAGAAAATGGGACGGGGCGGAGTTCAAACGACAGCTCGAGTTTTATGTTCAATGGAATTAGAAATGACTTTTTAAATGCCACTCTGTGTGCACTGCCCTACTGTAAGAACTCTGTTAATGAGTTTAATGTGCAGTTGTTGGCGTGGGATGTTCATTTTTCTTCTTTGACTGATTAAAAAGTAGAAGTGATTTATAGCTGCAGTGGGAGTCTGGGTTGTTCTGTCATGTGGGCGTCTTATTATGATTTTAGTCCCCCTCATTTGCGTCAGCGCTGACTGTATTTACCATCTTGTTGAATGTATTGTGCTGCTGCTGAAATATTGCATTTTCAGTGGTAACTTGAAGATACTTCAACTTGCAGCGCTCCAGGCCGCTGACTGACAGATTGAGAGTTATCATGGCACTTGAGGTTTGAGATGAGAGGTTTATGTAATCAGCACATTCCCTCCATCGTTCTCATGAGACTACTACGGCATTTTCCTTTGAGGGGAAATGTTGAAAAATGACCTTGAAGGCATTCCTGTGTCAGTGTGTGGTGAGTTACATCACGATAGAAAAGAGGTAAAGTTCATGGCTGTTCTGGTAGTTTACCTGGTAGAGCTGGTGCCACATATACCAGGAGTCCTTGCTGTGTATCATTCCCCCTCTCTCTCTCTCTCCCTTCTTTCCGGTCACTCGCAAGCTGTCTGTATCAAATAAAGGCAATAAAAGCCCCAAAAAATATTTAAAAAAGAAAGAAAAGAGATAAAGTTTAAGGTATGAATATAGAAATGTAGATTTGATGTGCGTCTGCTCATCGGGAGGTCAACAGTCAAGGGTCACCGCTTGAAAAAATGCTGCATGAATGTTGAATTATATGTTTTCCTGTAGACAAATTTCACATTTTTGCTTGTGCAGCTGAAAAATTATAGAAATTAGTCAGAAATTATACAAGTAATTGCATAACACGACATAACGTGTTGCACTTTTACACATTTGACAATATTTAAATGGGTATAAAACGGGACTTGAAGTACACATTCAGTCAAAGGTTGCCCTTATTATACGAGGACTAAACCCTTTGTTTTAAATATCTGTGTGTTTATTGAAAAGTCTGTTCAAACATTGGAAACATTGGTAGATAACTGACAAAAAAACCCCATAAAAGATCAATCAGTGTTCATTTTTGTCTATTTGGTTTTGATTTGATTCCTGTTTTATTTTATAATTTTCCACCTTTTATCTTGTTCTGCTTCATTTCCTGTCTTTGTCTCTTTTCCCTCCAGTTTTGATTGTTTGCCACACCTTGATTATTTCCACCTGTGTCTGGTTCCTGTGTAGTTTCCCTTGTTTCTTGGTAGTTTTGGTTTTGCTCTTAGTTTTGTCCTTAGCTGTTCCTGGTTGTTTTTCCTCATGTTTCCCTGTTTTTTTTTTTTTCTTTACCTGGACTTATACCTGTTTACCTGTCTACCTGTTCCTGCACCTACCTGTAAGTTTTATTCAATAAATCTCTGAAGTCATCCTGCTGTCTGATTTAAATACACATTTCTGGAGAAACTGACAAAAGCTGAAAGTCTAAATAATTTACTTGATGTTGCCTGTTCATAGAGTACCCAGTAGAAGATCAGAAGATTAATATGTTGGCATAGAGCTGATTAGATCCATCCCCAGTTACTGAATTAATACCAGTATTATGTTCAGTTTCTCATGTTTAAAACAAACCAAATGTCATGAAAATCGGTTCTGAATTAAGCGAGTTACAGTAGATTTTGAAGTGAAGTCTGAATCTCTCAGTATTGTTAACTGACCTCCGTAATATGGCGACCACGCAGACACATACAGAGGCAGCATACATGAGTTATCTATGTTTCTATATCTGTGGTTTAAGGGGTCAGATTCAGACACAATTTTTCTAATTTAGCTTCTTGTCCCTGTAAACCAACTCTCGTTCTCAACCTGCCTGCTGCATGTAATCACACTAAATCAGCAGGCAACTGTATAATATGCCTTGACAGTTGTATTGAGGCGCGTTGCACAGTGTTTAGACTGACTTTTGGAGGACTTCATTTGCATCCTTCTATGTAATTTGAAGTCCTCATGAACATTTTTGTGGACGGCAGTAAGGGAAGTGGTGGCACTTATCTCCAGTGGTGGTCTCACCTCAATCCCAGAGCCTTGTGTGTCTTTTAAAGCTTTTGAAACAACTGTGAATGTTTTGCTCACACTCTTTTTCTCAGCATTTCACCTAAAATAATGCAATTGTAAGAATAAAAAGGAATTTGCAATGTTGATATTTAACTTTAATTTTTATGGATTTTAATTCATAGTCATGCTAATAAGTGCATGAAACTCTGACATAATCAATATTTTTGTGATTTTTTTTTTCATTTGAAGGGTTTTTGTAGCATATTGAAACAGGTGTGCTTTGACTAGCTTTCAGTTCAATAGAGTGCTAAAGGGATGACTTATATTTGTCCTATCTTTCAACAAAAATCCAATGCACGTTTAGTTCAGCCAGATAATCTTTTTGAAGCACAAATGCGATCGCCACAAGTAAAGAGCTAATGTTAGAGGATGTAAACAAACTAGACATTGGACCGGAGCAGTGAGGAGATCTCCGTGTTCTGGCATGATGACGTTTAATGTCACCAACAACATCTGTAGTTGTAGACTAATCGGTCTTCAACCAGTTCAAACCTTTTCCCAAATTTGACCAATCATTGTAGTTTCCTGTGCAAAAAACGTTGAGCCACCAAACTCCCTTCCTTACTTGTAGTTGTGCAGATGCAGACACGTGCAACCCTCTGTCCAAAGAGTGTGATTTTATTCCCACTGAAACAAGTTGCTAGCTATTTTTGTAAATGGCTTCATACAAACATAATTCAAAATAATGACTAAAAACATTGCAAGTTTTTGAGAAAAGCTGCTGTGAAATCAGGTGTTTTAGGCTCCAACAATCCCCAAAAATCCTGGAAGGGACTGGACTCAAGACTTGAGACTTGTGACTTGGTCGTGATTAACATATAATATCTAATTTGTTTAATGAGTACAGAAACTGAACTGTAAAAAACATCATGTTGTGGTTTTATGGGGCGTTATCGCTGCACTTATTTCCTGGAATCCAGGCTTGCTGTTTCACCCTGTTTCCACTCTTTGTGCTAAGCTAAGCTACCCTGTCTCCTGCATGGCTCCAGCTTGATATTTAATGGACTGAGAAAAGAGCGATATCAGTCGTCTCATCTGAGCCTTGGCACTACTCCATGAACTGCTGCTGAGATTTCTGCACAGCACAGATGTGAGTTGAGTTTAATTGGTCAAAACTATAAATTGGGGGGGGCAGAAATCCACCATTGAGCCAAATGCTACTCAAAGCTTGTTCCCAGGTGTTTGCATTTAAATCTGTTGGTATTTGCATTCACAGGATGGACCGGGGGAGACTTTTTGCATTTTCGCCGGCACTCCCGCACTAAAAGAGACGCAACAGGAAACTGTTGAGTCAAGGGATTTGTGAAGGACACATTCTTGCTCCCTCAGCACTGAGAGGCCATAAACATAATGAAGATTTACAACTGATGCTGCTGATGGATATATATAAAACCATCACTCTTCCACTGCCAAGACACAGAGCTCTCCTCCTTAGGGTACGGTTGAGTGAGATGATAGCTGTATCTTGTACGCAGTGATTTATCTGGACCGAGCTGACAGCGTGATAATTGATAAAGAAGCAAGCGGAGAGCACAGAGATCATCTGGTCTTTGCTTTTTCTTCTGGTGCACAATGTCTTCCCAACCTTTTTTGTAGGATGTACTCCTCACAGCTCAAGAATCCCTTCATCAACAGCACCATTTATTATCCAAATGTTTTCATTTGAATTAATTTCTCACTTGTTATTGAACTATTAATCAAATAAAAACTGGTATAATAATCAGGTGTATGACCTATAAAAGATGGACGTTGTGTCTCCACTTCCTCCCACTGTACAATAATAAAGCCGTGATATCCAACTTTTGTCATGAAAAGCAGACATCCGGAGCTGGAGCAGTGTTCGCGGTTTGACATTTTGGGAAACGCGCTAATCTGCTTTTCATGACCAGAGTTGGGCGAGAGGATTGCTAAACATATGAAGCTACAGTCAGCAGCCGGGTAGCTCAGCTGAACGACTAGCCGAGCTCTGACTGGGAGTATTGACTTCCTGGAGTCTTGTTGTCACTGTGAGGTTGCTAGGCAACCAACGCAGACTCCAGGTAGTTAGCAGCGAAGAAATCGTCCACATTACCCTCCGTAACTTTGCCACTTTTACACTTCACTTGTCGTACGGAGTAAAGAGACGACGTAGAGTTTGCTGGTAGGCTGATTTTGTTTTTCGATGAAGCCAGGCTAGCTGTTTCCCCCCGTTTCCAGTCTCTATGCTAAGCTAAGCTAGACTGTAGCTTCAAACGTAGCAATCCTCTCATCTAACTCTTGCCTTGAAAGACAGGTTTCCCAAAAATTCCAGGAAATGTTTCTACATTGTCACAGATTAGTTTCATGTTAAGTAGAAACAACATTTCAGGATTCACTGATAACGAAACACATTCAAGGTCCGACTCAGATTAAAAAACAATTATTGCTGCCTGCTGTTACATTTTTTGAGCGCTGACAAATAAAGTTGTGTATCAAGTGAATGAGCTCTCTTCTACGCACACAATCTGATGCCCTGTGTGAGTGTGTGCACTTAAACATGCTAGCACAGGCATGTAGGGAGGCTGAGCAGGTGTTTTTTTGGTGGGTGCTTGACACACACACACACACACACACACACACACACACACACACACACACACACACACACACACCACGACACAGACTGTGACTCACACAACTGAACGTGACACCTGCGGCGTCCAGGCAGTCACATGTCACTGAACCACACCCTGCTTGCGCAAAAACTCTGCCTCTGACGTAAATACTGCAAATGAATCCTGCTGGTCAGTCCCTCAAGGCGCTGTTCTCCACTACAAGGAGGTTTTCTTACTGGTATTAAAATAGTCTCAATTAAATACTAATGCCTCAGTATGACCTACATAAGCACACAAGACCATCAGCAACAACATTTGCTGTTTCTGTGTTCTTTAATGGCCGCCACCGGGCCGGATTCGGTCAGTTTCCTGTTGAATTCAACGAAGCGAGGCGGTGGAAACACTACCGCTTTTGTCCACAGGGGCCGCCAGAATCAACAGAAACTATAAGTTCCTTGTTTCTGCTTTCAACAGTTATTTATTCCCTTTTTACTGGAATACTTAATTACTTTTTCTGCCGTACAAAATGTGCCATATACATAAAGATTAGCATTTATTGGAGTCGTGTTTCTTGCATCTTTTATCAGTATCAATGCAGTATGCACTCCACTAGTCACTAACTTTTTTGTTAACTAATTCTGTCTGCCAGAATGAGATGAAAGATGCTAAAACGCTGCTAAAAAGTAAAATTTTATAGTATATAAAGTATTTATTCAGTATTTTAATGTTTTAAAAATCAAGAAAGCTAATGTTGCTCAAAGGCATTGCTTCCAAAATAGAGAGAAACTAAACGATTATTAAATGAAAACAATTGAACATTGAGCTAAGCTAAGATAAAAACATCCCACCTTTTATCTTTACTTTAATTACAACAATTGAGGTCAATATTCCAAAATATTCCTGTTGCCTTTGAAACATAATATTGCTATTAGTTAAATTCATCTTTAACTGTTATTGTGTGCTTTGCTCGAGGCACAGAAACACCTGGTTTTGTTTTTTAGTAGTGTTTTTAATGGCTGCCCACGTTACCATTGATTCATTTATCGATTTCTCCGGTCCTGCGTCGAACTAAACGTTGGCCCAACGTTCCTCAAGGCCGAAGATTTCCTCCACATGTGCAAAAGTCTATCGATAGCATGTGGTTCCATTTAATGTAGACACATAAAACAACAAGCAGGAAGCATTAAAACCACGAGGCTGTGCCGCTCTGCAAGGGACCCGCTTCTCAATCCAGCCTGTGTACTCACAGTCCGGGACAGGGGACACAAAAAAACACGTATACCTGTTCAAGCAATTACGCACGTCTGTCCTCCATATTGGAATAATAAATACAGCCTGAGGGGTACCGCAGCGTAGTTAATGCTTCTCTTTCAGCCCTCTGCGCCTTATTAGAATAAACAGAAGTGGTTTGCAGGTTTGGGGAAAGTTGACGAGTGGCAAACAGACCTGAGTTCGAGCAGCATTCACGTGTACTTCTTGTGGTTTATTCAAGCGAACCACAGCGGTGGTTTATATACGTTCACCGTACAGCGTGGTGCAATCAGTGTGAGAGAGTTTAGACAATAACTGAGAGGTATACTTTAAAGTTAATGTGCTGTGCTTGACACAAACTCTATTTTAAATGTGCTGATACAAAAACCATGTGGTTCTCCGAGGAGGGAGGGAGGGGAAACAAACGCGTATTTGAACTACTGTTTGACCCAGCTCTGGCAGTGGATATCATTTATTTGTGACACCCAATAGCGCGGGAGGGCTCTTAGCGAGATTCCCTCCATGGTAAACAGTCATAAAAAGCCCAGGATTCGGTTGCACAAACACAAATAGCTGACTATTCATAGCACTAATGAGAGCTGCCAGGGACGCCAGCGGGCCTTGAAATGCACTGTCGCCACTCGGAGAGTTATGGCACGACTTGGGGTAGAAACCACGGCTGGAGGTGTAAAGGAGGTCCTGTATAACTTCCCCTTTCTTTTGTATATTCCTTTTTTTTGTCTTCACCCTCAAACCTTTGCTATGATTATCTGTGCTGCAGGCATCTTCATCATGACAAATGTTAATTTGTTTGTTCGTCTGCCGACTGGATTATGAAAGTGTCAACTCTCTCCCTCCATGGTCGAAAGCTATTTTCTAAGTAAGACATTAACTAGGCCATTACCCCCCACAAACCATAACGGAGGGTTGTGTAATTTAGCAGCGCACTGATTGATTGGCCTGTTTATTTTTTTGTTTCGGCCCGACAGGAATCTCAAACTTGAACTTTCAAAATTCCTTGCAGATGGCCAGTCGGCCTCTTTTTGAAGCCCCGCTGTAATTAACCTTTTCAGAGGAGAATAACAAACCAGTACACAGGGGCACTGTGGCCTGGCTCTGCTGCTTTGATGTGGTTCCTGCGTTTGCTCTGCCATGCACTTGGATGGGAGGTGAGCTCTGCTGACATGTCCCGGGCTGCTGAGGGGCACGTCACACCCCGTGGGGGGGGGGGTTCTGTGCACCAGCCCCAGCATGGAAAGAACTGTTATCGCCTTTCTGAAGCATTGGTTACATTTACTTTAACAGAGGAGCTTGGCCATCAGCCACAGGGTTGGTATCATACCCTGCAGTCGACTCTCTCTGTTGCCTCAAATGAACCGGGGAACATAATATTCCCGTTGAGCTGATTAAGTAATGTACCTGCAAAACATAAACAAAACACTACACCTGTAATCAATCTTTATTAAAAATCAGCAGCACCGTAATGTGGACAGGAATAAACTTAAGCTAGCCAGCTCAAATCACAATATATTTATAATAATCATAATAATAATACATTTTATTTATATTCCACAAGCTTTGCAGTAATGTTAGCTTTGACTTTGGACTCATTAAGCTCATAAGCTTTGGATTTATAACCTTAGCCTGTGTTGCACAGTCAGGAAAATTCGACTCGCATCCCGACATAGAAACACAAATAAACCAGTAGTCAGCTGAGAAAGTTAGGCAAGGTCTCACTTTTTAAAATTAATATTTAAACCTGTTCACATATCGACAGTAAAAAGTGATTATTACATAAAAAATAATGCCTAAAAAGCTCCAGACTCTTAGATATGGAGCTTTTACATAGATAGATACAATAAACAAAGATATATGGAAAGTAAAAGTAACCATACAATTAAAATTGATAGCAGAATAGAGAAGTTTAGAAGCCGTTTAGGGCACTGGTTCCCTGGTAAACTGGCGTATTTTATAGATATTTCATATTATATTCAAAACTGTACGATGAACCCACATAAAGAACTCAGTAACTGCAGGAAGTTTTTTGTAAAATAAGTGATTTGGATGAATATTGAGCAGATTATTTCCTGTTTAGGGAACTTGTTATACAATTCTCTGTCTATATTGTGTATTTTTTAACCATTTTTAACAATCATACAGACTTAATAGGCTTTTTGTTTTGACAAATTCAGTGTTTTCTTGTCCCTGGATTGTGGCCAGAAGCTAAATGCTGAGATAGAAACCTACTCCAGGTTGGGAACCACTGGTTTAGGGTATTAAAGCTTTAACATATTTTCATAGTAACTGCCTCCTGAAGCTTATTCTAATGTCTCCACTGGGAAGCTGAATCATCATGTGTGTCACATTTTCTAACAAGATAATATGTTTTATAGTGTCCAAAGATCTCAGTGGGATTATTCAAATCCTATTTTCAGTACTTAACTTGAATTAAATGTCAGTATCTCACACTGAAATAAAGACAAACACAACTTTAGATGACCTCTCGTAATGCGCCTGCAAAACATTTTCATACCGACATTATCAGCATTTATCAGCATTTTCTTCCTGCAGTGCTTTCCCCCCGTGGGTTTCATTCATACCGCTACTGAAAGACAAACGTTGTCTTCTTCCTCTCGCTAAGCATGCGTGTCTGTCTCCATACTTGACTGCAAACTCCTGAAGGCGGCCATGTTTGACTCCATCAAGGCAAGTCGGTAAGTCTGGAGGCTATTTTGGCTCCATCCTGCAAGCGGGGATAGTGGCTTTTAATTAGCTGGGGGCTTCGGCGGGAGCTCCATCATCAACGGAGCGTGTCGAACACATTGCCGTCTCTCTGCTTTCCTCTCTGGAGCGCTGCAGACACCTTTTTATTATCTTTATCATCCGTAGAAAGTGCCGCCATCTGGGTTGACGGATGCAGTGTGAGACCAGTCAGTCATCTCTGTTCACTCTTG